CCTTCCAAGCCGATGATATTGGCGGTTGATTGCAGCACTCCGCCCAGAGCACGTTTCAAAGCTGGATCTACATTGGCATCTTGCATCAGAGTTCGAATGTCCGCAGCTTCCCCATGCAATGCCATTGCCTTCAAAAGATCTTCTGTGCTCACATTGGCGATGAGATTGAGATGCTTTGCGAAGCCACGACGCTGCACATATGCTTTGTTAGACTTCATAAGCTCCAATCGTCGCTGCACATCGTACATCACAGGCAACAATGTCTCCTTAACAAGATTCCACTGGTTCGTGACAATTCCAAACATAAACCTAAACAAAAAAGAGCGAGTGCCGGAGTGTCGGTACCAAAAAAAAAACGTAACTCAACTCTTGACGCTCTGCATCCGGAACACAATCTAAAAGAAAAACAAACGAGTTAACTCGATGCTAATCTACAAATCGTCAACCACCAACCTGGCGAGCCACTGATAGAGACCATCGTGGCAAAGGGGCAGAAACAAGCTCCGACTCTGACGGTAGCTTGTACTGCAGCTCCTCGCGGATGAGCAGGTATCGGAAGACCTCTGCTGCATCCATGCGAGTCTCTCGCTTCAGAAATGGAACTCCATCGCCCCAGGGGAACAAGTCCGGAAATGCCATTGCCCAGGTCGAAGGCTCAAACATAGAAGCAGGCGACCCTTGTGACGGCACCACCAGTTTGGAAGGTCGGACTTGGAACATGTCCGCTTCCACCTGCCGATGACTCTGTGCAGACTGGGCCGCCAGACTTTGGATGCTCTTGATCTGCCCTAGGGCCTGTCGCTCTCGAAGTCCTTCGCGACCAAGGAGTTGAGAACTCTGGACAGATGAGCCATCAGACACCACGTTGCCATCTCGATCTCTGCAAACTTGTTGTGCCACACTGAGTCGGGATCCAGGCTTGCGACGACAGAGCTCTTGCATATCACGACCAACTTTCAACCATTTGCATTGCTCGTCCTCACCATCATTGAGGCCCACGATGCTCGACACCAAGTGACCTGTCGAATTCGACGT